AATTTATCCTAACGATACCCTGTACACAGGTTACATGTGAACGGGTTTTTTCGAAGTTAAAAATAATTAAGAATCGTCTTAGGGCTAGTTTAGGCCAAGACCTTATGTCTAGCCTTATTTTTATGAACATAGAGAGAGACTTGTTTTCTGACATCGACAGAGAAGAAATCATTAATGTCGTGGCCAGTAGTAGTGACGAACTTAAAAGAAAACTGATGGGATAGGCTAGGCAATCGTTAATAAGGCTACTATCACTATGGTAGGAATTTTTATCGTCTTTCTACGGTTAACACATTTTTTTTTTAACTTCTTTATGTAATAATTATTTATGTTATGGGGGGGGGGGGGCCTCAAATCACCATCTAGCCGAGGGCCTCCAATGGAGCCAGACCGGGCCTGAACGTGAGTTACGAAGTCTAAAGTGGAATATATTTTTTATCTGAAATGATATACGAGTTTAGTGTTAACACGCAGTGTTGTTCTAGCTAAAATATGGTATGTTCAAACTCAAAAGAATTGAATGGAAACTATTACGGGCGTAGGTTCGGAGCTCAAAGGAAAAGACGAAAAGTGCTGGTAAGTACATATTGCGTTAATCCACTTTTCATTTCAGTTGATAATGTCGACAAAAAAAATTGAGGCCTACGTGCGAGATACAATTAAGTAGAGAGATTTCCATTCCCCTTCTTTTCCAGACATTTAGGAACTTTCAATCGAGAGACGGGCGACCAAAGGCACTCGAAAGATTTTTGTAATAATTTTGAATAAAAAGTTCAGTAAACTCTGTAATGACAATGAAGTGACAGCACAAACATTAATTAGACTAAAAAGTTAATAGACGTCTCTGAATGCCACTGTAAATCAAACATGGATCTCGTGTAAAAGCTTATCAAAGTTTTTAAACAAATCATGTCATTAATAGGTAAAATAATCTAGTAGAAATTGATCAGTTTTTGTAGTTATGTCAATTATAACTAAATAGGTATAAAAAAAATACGAGATCAATTTTATGACACCATATACTATAATAGTGCATGTCGAATTGGCTTAGTATTAAAGTACAGTTTCCGCTAGGGGACTACAAAACTGTCACAATGGATTTTGTTGACAGAGCCACTAGCCACTTCGTAGCTGTCACTGAATAGTCTGTTTAATATTAGGTCTCTCCCCTTCGGCCGTGTATCTCTCTACCTATTCTAATTTCGATAATTTTGATTGGTTAATGTTGCACAATTCATTTATTTGTTCCATCGTCGTCCGAAAATGATTTGAGTAACTTACTAAAAATAGAGATATTCTACAAAAAGTGGTTAGGTGGCAGAACTCTTTATTATTCTTACTTAGGTATTTAGTAACGTACTGAAAAACACAGGGCTATTTCATACGTAGGTACACCGAAAACTTTGAAACTGAAGAAGTGTAAGAGGTGTAACTTGTGTGCTGCCAATACTGAGCAATCCCCAACCCCGTGGAGCTTTTAAAACCTTATTAAGGAGATCAAGTTCAACTTATTAGGTGAATTTGGATAAAGTTTAATTGTAATTTCATTTTATTTCAAGATCACGTAACTAAAGGCAGTGTTTTGTGAGGTAGAGCATGTGTGCCCACACATAACTATTGTTTCATCAACATCATATATTGTCACGAGTAATATTTTAAAAATGTTTACCCTCAAGTTTACAGTTTTAATGTTCAGCCAACCAAGTAAGTAGCAAATCAAATCAAATCAAAAATCATTTATTCAGTCTAGGCTGTTACAAGAACTTCTGAAAGTCGAAAAGCTACACTCAAAACTACGGCAGGAGCCTTGTACTGAGAAGAACCGGCCATTACATAAATTAGAATATAGCTATATACATTAAGTTTTATAGTGAGCTTTACATTTGTAGTAGGTATTCATGAAGCTGCTTCAGATACCACATTATTGTTATGAAAAATGTCTGATACCATTAAATTACAAGAAACATTATGTCCATGCATTACGATCATTTCGATAATCATCAACTTTATAATAGCCCTTACTCAGAGGAGTAATCTTGATCTGAGATTAAAATTTAGCCAGAGGAAGCTCAATTAGATCTTGGGGAACTTTATTTAACAGTGAAATATTACAACCCAGAAATGAACCTCTTGATTTTTGGAGTCTAAACTAAAACATGGCACGGAGGCAAGCTTGTTCTTAAATCTCGTGTTAAAGTTATGGGTTTTATTTTTTTGCAAATGCGTAATAGTATTTTTTTACAAATATTATATTTTCATAAAGGTTACTGTATTACGATGCCAGTGTTAAAATATAAATTCTTTAAAAATTTCTCTAAGAGAATCTCTTGCTTAATAAGAACTTATATCACATTTTATTGGTTGTTCAAGTTTGATGGCGATTGTATTATTCCCTTCAGAGATTAAATATCTTTTTCATTACACTGGAGTATTCAAACACTTGGTTGATAAAAAAAATCGAGATTTAAAATGCTATTCCTAACCTCAAAAATATGAAAAAAGAATATCCTCCATGCTCGCAGTTATAAATTAAATATTGAGCTACTTAACTCAGGTATATAGTAAATACAAAATTAGCAATGTACATGCATAGAATAGCTATTGAATATCAGGTCCAGTATCAGGCAAGATACCTATGGCCGATGTCCGATTAAAAAAGAAAAAAAAAATTCAACGAGTACTTACTAAAATATGTGCAGAGGCATTGTAACACTGTCTCTGATTTTCAGTAAAAAGCCACGCAAAAAAATAAGAGTAAATAATATATTTCATAAAAATGACAAAATGGCTCATGCATTATCCACACTCCTCTACTTAGATAGTTTTGATTGGGAAGGCAACCCGACATCTGTCGATACTTACTTTCTGAGAGGAATAGCGCCCAGTTAGTAAACTCAGGCTTTGTTTCCTATGTAGATTAGTCCTGACAAACAGGAATTTTATTTGCTATCCTTTTCAATGAGGACGGTATCGTATTCTTTCCTTGAATTTTTCTGTTCGATTGGTTCTGATTGCAATGGTAATTTTATTTACCTTGCTGTACATGGGAACTTTATATATACATAGGAACCGTTATAATGGTTACGGGACATCAATAATTGAATATCTAATTGTATTAATAACATAATGTGTTATTTTTGTATAGAGATTGCATACAATGGAAAAATACAATAATAGGTATAATAATTATTCTACAGAAAAATTTGTTATTCTACTGTGACTCTGTGGCTCTCGTAAGAATAAAAAACCTATGTGACTATAGTGTATGCACTGAGGATATTCTGACTTGGCTTTTTCTTGTATATGATATTCGTAAAACCCTCTTAGCAAAATTGGTTTCATATATCATAAAGACGTTGAAGTTATGACATGGACTATCCCATTCAGCTGATTCCTCAACTTTATTTAGAGATCAGAATACTTTTGGGGTGAAGTTAAAGAAGCCATCGGAGCTCTATAAACACCCCAGCGTCACCAAGATGCATATCTTGGGACAAACTCAAGATGAAATAGTCTCGTCCCCACCAAAAAAACAAACGTGTTACAGAGTTTGCGTCAAGACTTCAATTCCATAAACAATTTATGGCAGGTGCACAGTTTAATAGAGTCGGGCTGGGTTCCGCAAAGCAAAAGGACGTAGGATGTCCTCAGGCACGATGGAGTGACAATTTGCGCAAGGTGGCTGGCAGGAGCTGGATGCGAGTAGCCCAAGATCGATCTAAAGGAGGACCGAGACATAATAAAAAATCGTTCCTACAACAAGACGAAAATGATAACTATAAAGTACACGCAATGAATTTAAAAATGCAAAGTGAGTGGTTAACCATGAGTGAGTGAGTGAATTCTGTATTCCATTAGCTCTGAAGTGGCGCACTTTACTACATCATTGATCTCAATGCCTACCAAATGACCCTCCTAGACCAGACTATCTTAGTGAGATGGGGTAAAGCCTCTGAAAAATCGTGCTATACTTGCGGTGAGGCAATAGGCACTGCTGGGCACATATTGGTAGGGTGCAAGGTGCTCCTTGATAGGGGTCAATACTCACGTGTCGTCGTGATAGAGTACTTAAAGTCATACGTGAAGCAGTAAGTCTTGCGATGGCTAGAGCCCAAAAAGGATTAACCACAAATAAAAAACATATTAACTTTATAAAGGAAGGCATAACTGTAAACTCTAAGAGCAAGCCTTTCTCAATCCTTGGTATTGCACCTGACTGGACTATTTTAATGGATACGTACGAAAAGCACTATAAAGTACCAGAGGAATTTGGTGTAGCGTCATCCAGGCCGAACATATTCCTCTTTTCCAGACACATCAAACATATAGTACTAATAGCTTACTGTACCGTGTGAAACAAGCATTCCAAAAGACCACACAATAAAATTGAATAAATATTACGATGTACCCACGGACTAACTAAAAATGGCTATTTAATTAAATTATATGGGGTAGAAGTAGGAGCGAGAGGTATACCAGCACAATCTCTCTATAACCTTCTAAAAGATCCAGGCCCGTCGAGAACAGCAGTAAATTCAATTTTAAAAGACCCAGGCCTGTCGAGAACAGCGGAAAATTCAATTTTAGAACGAGTAACTAAGGCTGCGCTAAAAGGCTCCCATCAAATTTGGCTAGGAAGGGCGTGCAACTCGAGCAGTATCCACTCGTGTATGTATCCAAATCTAGACTCCTCGTAGCGAGTCGTGTGTTGTATGCTTCGTAGACATTATATTTTTTTCTAAGCACCACGAAGAGTATGTAGGAACTGGTTGACTTAAAAAAACATAATAACAGATTTATATTACTTGATATTAAGAACTGATTTCATAATTTAGTTTAAGTTTTATTGATTTGTCTCAGAAACTGAGTCAATAATAGAACTTTCATACTTATAATGGCTAATAGCTTTTGTATGAAACGGCATCTATGAAATCGTAATTGAAAACTTAACAGCACACCATTATGCGATTTTATTTCAATCATCCAAGTATTTTCGCGCCCTTGGCATTATGTAGCAGATTATACAATTGGGTGCTAGAAATAAGAAACTTCGTTTACTAGTCTATGGTAAGCGGCTGTGGCCAGAGCGCCTGCGCGAAAGGCGAATTGGGCGTGCGGGAGACCGCAGGCACGGCAGAGGGCAGTCACGCTTGCGTGAGGTGCCATCGATCCATTCGGTCGGTCGCCACGAACAAACTAAACTCACTGAAGCCCAAAGGTCGCTGCGGCGACCCGAATCAACATGCAACCTCCACCCAGGAAGGTAAGTGCATCGAATACAACGCAGCCTCGACTCGCAACCCAGCGTCTCAAATAAGCACCCCGGAATCCGAACATCAACATTATCCTACCCCTCTCTTCAATATACAGCGAACGAGTAAAGCGTGAATGAAATATCACAACATTATTCCTGCACCTGTCCTTTAAATCTTAACGTTGTATGTATCAAGCGATAATGTAACTTAATTCTATAGGAACGCTATTAGGTCTGTGTTTATGGAACGGACGCCGCTGGTGTATGGTTTTGTAGGACATTGCCAAAAATCGAATTGATCAGCACTTGTACTTTTGAAAGGAGCTTGTTAAGTAACGCTACGTAACGTTTTCTACTATTTATGGGAATGCGACAATAAAATACATACGAATAAATCAATAACAGCGAGATGTTTAAAACATCGTTTATAAAGCGTTGTAATTAAAGAACAGGAGATGATATTTGTTTGAGCGTTCATACTGTGTGATACATAAGTGTAGTATCTTCATTATATTGACGCTTTATATGACTAGTAGTACAGTTTTAATAATCGTTTTGTTCATAAAGGTACACAAAGGTGCACATATACCTACATATAGTGCCAAACTTATTCATAAAATTATTATAATTTTTAATACTTTAAGTCATCAAACAGCATTTCAGAAAAATACTAATGAAGTGTTAAAATGGAGTAGCTACTGGTGAACACAGCTTATAATGATATGCTGTTCTGGTGGTTGGGAAAAATATTTTTTTTAGGTTTTGTTTTATCCCTAGATACCTTAGAAATTTCAGAGGTCGATAAAGTAGGAGCTCCCGTAGAACTCCCGAGAAGTAAATTCTAATAATGTTAATAGTTTATGAATCACGTGTCAGCTGTCTCTCACAACTTCAAAAGGATGTAGTGTATATAATTATGGCTGTTTCACTTCATTAGTAAGTTAATTTTTTTGTAGTCCAATTCACGCAAGTGGATGCCGCCACTTGACATTAAGTGGAGTTAAGGCATTTTCATGTATATTTTCTCTAAATAAAGTCCAGGTACCGGAGACTAGTAGAATCGTAGTCCAATTTTTGATTAGCTTGGACCACAATATCAACAAGTAATTTATAACCACAAATCACCTAGAAAATATAATATTTAATTACTTTGATCTTGTAGCACATGTAAAGTTGGAACGTGAACCTTACACGGTAATACTTTTAACTAAGGTATTTTTACTAGAAAACACTTAAAAACATATAAATAAATACTCTAAAATTTATAAATCTGTTAAATGCTTAAAATAAATATAATAAACGGTAATACATAATGAATTGCTTAATATTTTAAATTAAAAGTTAGCATTATCATACGAAGGAGTGTCAGTCATTCAAAGTGTCATTTGTAGGTACACGACTGCAGATCGGCTTGATAGAAAGGTATTTTATTATTCCCGGATTAACCAACACGCAGAAAAAAACTCATTTCCTAATGTAGTGTTTTTCATGGCTCTTTGTTTTTATTAATTACTTTAACATAGCTACGTTATAGGTGGCGCCAATGAATTGGTTCCATGGAAACGTTGTTTAGTCATGTTTATAAAGAAATTGGCGCCATTGTTAATCACCTAAAGCTGAATCCAGCAACTGTTACTGACATTAAGATTGTATGCAACATAGGAGAATCAGTTCGATAGATTTCGTGATACCTAAAATCTGATAAAAAAAACTTGGATTATATAGCTAGGTAATATAAAGGTATTTTTTTTATATGTATGTGGTATTAGTATGGGTAGATGTAATAATTATAATGGGTAGTTAATGTAGTGAAACAGCAAAAACTTTATACTTTGAGTATCACTAAATAAATATGTAACTTTCAATCGGTAGCTAATATTAAAATAGTTTTATACAAAGTGAATGAATGACAAAGGTAAAGTCATAACTAAAAATGATGATCTTTTTTCCTCGATATCCAGGAAATAAACCTGGATGAAAGAAATACACAGATACTTTTTGAATTTCTCTTTTCTTACACTAAAGCTGGGTCTTCACCGCGTGTTTTGCCCTACGCAACAAAAACATTATTAAAATTTAACAAAATTGTTTACACAAAACATGTTTCACTAATTACATACATAGAATACAAGTAAAGCGCTGACTTCGCCCATGCAAGTGGGCCATCGAAATTATTGCCACACGGCGGAAATGCTGTCGCTGCGAAACGTGAACGCCGCGCCGCCGCGTGACCGCCGTCGCCGCGACACCAGGGCCATCGTCATCGGATCACTTTGATTCTCACATCGATCGGGTCAATAGGTTTTAAATAATATAATAATTGTAATTTCTTTATTTCTAATTAAATTTGTTATAAGTAATTTCGGTTTTTTTTAAGAACTCCGGCTGTCCATTTCATAATTGGCGCAGTCGGTAGGATATTCGCGGTCGGTTTCGCGCTACATCCAGGAAGATTTCCGTTCGTTGCACGAGCCGCCCGAGTGGCTATCAAGTCACGCACGAGTATCCTGAACCTGAAGGAGCAGCCAGAGGAAAAGTATCCAGAAATCGATACGTAAGAGAGCCGAAATGTTTATGTGAGTACACTTGAATCGTTCTCGTGTTGCCTCCTGTCCTATCTTGTAAGTCCTTTTAAATTTTCACCATTTTCCACCCACGAAACTCTGGGTTGCGCGTTTCTGCTTCACATCAGCAGTCTCGCAGAAGACATTTAGTCGATAATTGTAGATTTATGGAAAATAGTTTAGATAATATTCCTGAAGTAGTAGCCATGGAATCGAACCCAGACCTAATCCATAAGGCCTTACGCCTCGTTCCTGACTTTGACGGGAACGCAAATGTCCTTACTAGGTTTATACGAATATGCGATCAAATGTGTCAAGAATTTCTGAGCGAGGATCCAAATGGTCGATTAAATAATCTTTATTTGTTAAATGGAATTCTTAATAAAATTACCGGCCCCGCCGCCACTATAATAAATTCAAACGGCATCCCGGAAAGTTGGGCTGGTATACGAAATACTTTAATTAATAATTTTGCAGACCAAAGAGACGAAACAGCATTATATAATGACCTTTCGTTAGCAAGGCAAGGCAATAGCAGTCCCCAAGAATTTTACGAACAATGTCAAACATTGTTCAGTACAATAATGACCTATGTTACTTTGCATGAAGATTTAGGTACCACTATTGAAGCTAAAAGAACTTTATATAAGAAATTGACCATGCAGGCTTTTGTTCGCGGTTTAAAAGAACCACTTGGATCATGCATCAGGTGCATGAGGCCTGATAGCATAGAGAAAGCTCTAGAGTATGTGCAGGAAGAATTAAATATTCTTTATCAACAGCAACGCACTGATAGTTTACCTAAGCCACAATTATCATTCCGTCCACCGCCTGCAGTACCTATAGGTTTCTCAATGCCTAAACCTTATAATAATAATTTTAACAATAACTTAGCGAACCAGCCAACGCAGCGGTTTATACCGCCGCCGCCGCCAGCGCATCGTTACCCTGCTCATTCACAGCCTTTTAGAGTTAATATGTTAAATAATAATTCCCAACAGCGCATACCAACCCGCACTCAGCAAATGTTTAGTGCACCCCCGCCAAGGTACAACCCCCAGAGTAATAATTTTAGATTACCACCTAGGAATCAACCCCAGTTTTCAGCCCCACGACCTATGAGCGCAGTACAACATTTTGTACCGAAACAGTTACCCCCCACTTTGTCGGGACACGATTGGCGTAAATACGGGAATCCGCCACCCAATAATTATTTCAAATCACGGGAAGTCAATTTAAATGAATGCGCTTACGATGATTCATATTATCAAGACTATTTCTACGACACAGACTACTATAATGACGTAAGTGACTACTGTTACTATGACTCGAACGACGACTATGACAATAGAGTTCAAATTTACGAGCCCACCACCAGTGCAGAGTCAAATGACGAGCCACAAGAGTCAAGTTCCACTCGTAATTTAGATTCGGATTTTCAGTTAAATGGCCCATCAGGCAAGTTAAAATAGAACTCAATTTGCAAACCCAAAGACAGTTACCCTATATTCAGATAGCGGAGCCACCTTTAAAGTTATTAATAGACACAGGTGCTAATCAGTCATTTATTAGCCCGGAATGTGTAGATAAGTTTTTCTATAATGTCCCCTTAGATTACGATCCGTTTGAAGTTACCAACGTCCATGCGACTAGCCGTAATAATTACTCTATTACCCTTCCATGTTTCTCCGAATTTAAAGATCAGAACCCCATAAAATTATTTGTATACCGCTTTCATAATTACTTCGACGGCCTTATAGATTTAGATTTACTTACGAAATTAGAAGCAAAAATAGATTTAAAGAATCAGACGTTAACTACGCAAAATGCAGTTAACCCTATACAGATGTATAACTCATGTAATGTCAACCTTTACGAGGATATTATACCGGCCCGCTTGTCTAAACTAGTTCGTATCCCAATAAACGCCCCGGATGGCGATGTTTTTGTAGAAGAGCAAATAATCTGTAACTGTCTTATCCATGAATGTGTAACGTCCGTAAAAAATAGCCGCGGAATATTAGAAATTTATAATTCGACAGATAACGACATAATATTTTCTCTAGACCGGCCAGCGCAAGCCGAGTTACTCAATATCGAGTGCACGCGCACTGCGCCGCCGCCTACGTCACGCGCGCATGATGTCTTATCGCGCCTCCGGACGGATCATATGAACGCCGAGGAAAAAGCGAATATCGAGGCATTATGTTCGCGCTACGCCGACGTATTCTATTTAGAAGGCGAGCCTTTAACATTTACAAATAGAATTAAACATTGCATTAATACTACTGACGAAATTCCCATCTACACGAAAAGCTATCGCTACCCTTATATACATAGAAATGAAGTTCGCGATCAAATTGGTAAAATGTTAGAACAAGGGATAATAAGACCTTCCACTTCGGCGTGGAGCTCACCTATATGGGTCGTGCCAAAGAAAGCCGA